AGGGATTGACCATTCGTTTAACGTTATACGGTCCAATACGTTTCCAGTCGAATTTCTTGGAAGGTCGTTTGGTTAGAATATGACGAGTCGATAGGAAAACCTTATCTCCTAAATGATATCGAGGAGCTGGAGTTCGATTCCTATTGGCTGATTCTTCTTGTATCCTTTGCGCTCGAAACATCTCTTCTTTTAGGAAATCTACTATATCCTTCATTTCCCTTGCAATATGATTCGCTTGATCCTCCGCCGTCGTTCGACCATGTTCCAAAGGGCCAAAAGTCATTCTTGGATTTCTTCCTGAATTGGCATAGAATGGGGAGACCTTTGTTGTTTCGGAGGCATGATTGTTTGTTGCAAATTCAGCCATTGGTAACATTCGAGCCCAATCATCCTGTTGATAGGAAACATAGCTTCGGAGGTACTGTTCCATTACGGCATTAATTCTTTCCGTTTGTCCATCTGTTTGAGGGTGGAATGCGGTAGAGAATTTTGATGATATTTCCAATCGATCACAAAGCGACCTCCAGAATTCTGCAACGAACTGTGTTCCTCGATCGGATACAATAGTATCTGGTAATCCGTGTAACTTCCAAACATTATCGATATATAGCCTCGCTACTTCCCTTGAATTTGCCTCTTTAGTCGTCGGTATTAAATGTCGCATCTTGGTTAATCTATCCACCACAACCAAGATTGCATTGTATCCATCACTCTCAGGGAGATCAGTCACAAAATCCATCGAGACATCTGTCCAGGGTCCATTGGGAATCGGCATGGGGTGAAGTACTCCATAAGGTGCATTGTGTGATGCCTTGCTACGGGTGCACACATTGCAATTCCTAATATACTGATCGACAAACTTCCGCATCTGTGGCCAGTAATATTCTCGACTTAGGAGTTCCAGAGTCTTCGCTCTACCCGGATGTCCTGCAGATGGTTTGTCGTGGTATTCTTTTAAAAGCCTTAGTCGAAGGTCATCGTCGTCTGGTACATATAGCATGCCTCGATAAAGCAGCCGACCGTTGTTATCTTCCATACATTCGGCAAGTGAGATTTTGTTTGAGTGGCGTATGCCATTCCGAAGCATATTGAGGACCTTGTTTGGGAAACTATCCACTCGGTAAGCTTTTGAAAATAACTCCTCTACAGTGGACGCTCCTTCAGCGGATTCATTTGACAAAGAACCCGCGAACAAACTTAGCTTAGTATCCAAATTTTTTCGCTTCAGAATCACTTGACTCTGATGCGTCAACCGTTCATCCCCCTCTTTAGGTAGGTCACCTGACCTCCTAGTCAATGCATCTGGTTTTGTTCCTTGTTTTCCTGGCCGAAATTGTATAACGAAATCAAAACGTGAAAGAAATTCGGACCAACGGGCTTGTCGACGATTTAATAATTTTGTTGTCATAAAATACTCAAGATTCCGATGGTCGCTAAGAACTTCAATTGGAAACTGAGCTCCCTCCAGATGATGTCGCCATTCTTCAAAACATCGTATAATTGCTAAAAGTTCTTTGTCATAGATTTCGTAGTTGCATTCTGCGGGAGAATGTTTCTTAGAAAAGAAAGCAACTGGATGTAGGATTCCTTCGTTGTCACGTTGAGATAGAATCCCTGCTGAAACATAGTCGGATGCATCGGTTTCTATTATAATTTTTCGATCCGGATTAAAATGAGCTAGGATTGGTGCCGTTATAAACATCTTTTTCAAAGTTTGAAATGCCTCCTCCCTTTCATCCGTCCATTCGAATTTAACGTTTTTCTTTGTTAAAGCTGTAAGCGGAGCAACGATTTTTGAATATCCTAGAATAAATCGTCGATAGAAATTTGCAAATCCTAGAAATACTTGAACATCACGAAGGTTTGTCGGTGTAGTCCATTCCAAAACATCGACGACTTTCTTTGGGTCCATTCTATTTCCATTCGGAGTAAGTATTAGACCCAGGTATTTTGTTTCTTGAACCATAAATTCACATTTTTCAGGTTTAAGGTGAACATGATTCTCATCAAGTACCTTTAGAACCCTTTGAATATGTTCTTTATGTTCTGATAGGGTCTCGGAATAGATAAGGATATCGTCTAAGTATGCCGTTACGAATTGATCGAGGTAGGGACGTAGAATATCATTGATCCAATGCTGAAACGTGGCAGGGGCATTAGCTAATCCAAATGGCATTACGGTATATTCGAAATGTCCATATCGAGTTCGGAATGCTGTTTTCCATTCATCTCCCTCCGCTATCCTGATTTGATTATATCCCCATCGTAAATCCAATTTAGTATAGTATTGTGCTCTTGACAACTTAGCCAGGGTTTCTTTCAACAATGGTAATGGATATCGATTTTTGATTGTAATCGCATTTAGGCCTCGATAGTCAACACAGAGTCGAAGGGTTCCATCGCTTTTCTTTACGAATAGTATGGGTGCTCCTGCTGGTGATTCACTGGCTCGAATAAATCCTTTGGGTAAATTTTCGTCAAGATATTCTCGTAGTGCTTTTAACTCAATTTGAGATAGGCCATATATGGGTCCATAGGGTGGTCGTTTGCCTTCTTCCAATACTATCTCGATGTCATGGGATGGTCGATGTGGTGGGAGAATTGAAGCATCATATTCTTTGAACATATGAAGACGATGGTGAAATTCCTTCGGTACTAGTTGTTCAATATCGACAGTGGATTTTTCAGTTGCTGAAACGATGACCGTATGGTGTTCTGGTAAGGGAATCGAGATGCCATGAACAATAACAGCAGTTCCACTGAGTGAACAGTATTGACAACAGCTCCGAGAGTCAAAAACAAGTAGATTTTCTTTTGGTCGAATCGTAACATCATGTCGTCGCATCCAAGGTATCCCCATCACAATCGGATAATGTCCTAACTTCGTTACAAAACATGGCGCAACTTCTCGATGACCATGAATGTCTAGCGAGACATCGATAATATGGGTAATTTTTCCTGACTTAATAGGCCTTCCATCTATAACGTCTACATGGCGGGGTATTTTAAGGGGGGTCATTGTAAGATTGTTGTGGCGTGCAAAAGATTCATCAATAAAAGCATATCCTGATGCTCCGGTATCAATAAGGGCGTAGGTAGGTATAAACGAATTTTTATTCTGTGAAATCGAACAAGTTACTACAAGTTGATTTCCATCCATTTCCTCCTCTGATACCGAAAAACCAGAAATACACATCCTAGAAAAATCCTTAAACGGTCCCTGGGCTAAGCCACTTAGTGCAGGGACAAATCTTTTGCCGACTCGTTATCGCTTCCATCATTTTCTTCCACTGTTAACGCTGCTCCTCTCATCACAGGCCTCCTTGGTTGATTTCCAGTTGCCCTCGCTTGGGGGCAATCCCTAACCATATGTCCAACACCTCCGCAATAAAAACATCGGCCCTCAACTAAGCGGGCATTTCTTTCGGTAGGGGAGGGGCGACGACGCCCTCCAGATAGATCCATTGGTACATCACCTCCCGGGCGGGATGAGGGGTGACTTTCAGTAATAGGTGCATTGGCGACTGGGGCGGCAGCGCGGGGAGCAGAAACAGGACTTGCTGGTGAAGGACGAGGGGCCTGAGTAGTAGTAGTAGTCCAAGGTTTTTTACCTCCTCGCTTAGCTTCTGCCGCTCTGCGACGGTTATCCAACCGTTGCAGAAGTGTCGCACAAGCATTTACCGTTGCAGGAGTATCATGGTGTATCATTGATTCATCGAGTTCCGCATTAATACCTTCCATCAAAGCCTCAATCCGAGAGACTTCATCCATACCCGACTCAGCAGCATATCGTTGGAACTCAGCAAAATAATCGGCGAACGTTCGGTTTCGTTGACGGATATTCCTAAGATTCCTCCTCGCCGTACGCATCCGATCGGGATCCCCGAAAGCAGTATCCAAAACCTCATAAAATCGTAGCATAGAGGGTAAAGCAATACCTTCTTCGCCAACATATTGTAAAAACTGATTGGCGGCAACGCCTTCCAATCTGCTGAATGCATAGGATAGTTTAGACTGTAGTGTAGGATAGCGATCGGCATTTCCCAATAGCTTAATCTTCATTTGTTGCTTAAACAGGTGTAACCTCTCTCGATCACGATCCCCCTTGAATACCTCAGGGTCTGGAAGCTTCTCCGACCGATAGGTAGTATCTGTAACGGGTGGTACTGGGGGTGCAGGTGGAACATTGTCTTCGTTGGGTGCTTGCACAGGGGCGACAGCTTCAACAGGAGCCTGTTGAGCTCGGGCAGCAGCAAGATCTTGCTCAAACCTTCTCCTCGCCCTCTCGGCCTCCGCTTCTACCTCTTGTAAATCCGTTGCGTATTGAGCAAGACCATGTTGGCACTGTTGGAGAAGTGCATAGGCTTCAGTTCCAACAATATCATCGACCTGTGGATGCGCTTGAAAAAGGGCTTGGAGACTATCGCTGAGTTGTTGATAATCAATAGATGCATGTTCCGACATTGTAAACTATGGTGTTATATTGGTTGGCGATAGAGGACGCAACCTACGTATCACGGGGACCGTAGACGATAGACTGTGGTGCCAAAGAATACAACCTAGGTAGTGACGTAGACGTGGACGTAGACGTAAAGGTATGCTTTGACTATAGACTATGGGTGGCTCTACCTGGTATGATAAACCGATTGGAGCCCTATGACGTAGTGCGGACAAAGAATAGTATTCGTAGAATAAATACAGAGGTTGCGTAAAGAAGAAAGAGAAGAAGGAAAACAGACAAAAGCACGAAACAACGCCCCCTTATATATCCACCCATAATCCAACGATGACTAATACCTTCACATAACAGAAACCCAAAGAACATAACAGAAGTCTCCATTACAAATCCTAATTCCACTGCACGATACCTCCTTCCTTTATCCCAGTTCATCACCTAGCCGAAATACATAGCTGCCGTTACAGTAGATATGGTAAGGTAGCTCTGATCCTACAAGAACTGTTAATACAGACACAGACACTGGCTTAATTCCGAGCCATACCTGCATATCCGTAGAGGATAGCACCCCAAAACATGACAGTAGAACCCCCAAGAAACTTTCGGTTCATATTCCGTGGTACAAATTTCTCCCCTACGCGTCTCAATACTCCTCTTACTCTACGTTCCCGTAGATTGCTTGTTTCAAAGTAGCTCTCATCCGTGAATATAATGTCCCTCCAGTCCTGATGTCGATACCGTAGGCAGAATGCAAGCCTATTTGCCTTATGTATCTCGTTCATCAATGGCTTTTTTGTAGGCTTGCAGCGGTGTATACCATCGGCAGCTAGTGTTTTCTTGATTGTGTTGATGCATACATTCAGTCCAGCTATTCTAGAATTAATACCGTGACCAATATATCATTATCAGGCTTTATACTAGTAGGTACGATACCTTCAGCAGCCAATTCGCGTAGTGGCATCCGGCAATGAGTAGCATCAGAGAGTGTGATTGCTATTAATCTCCTCTCTTCTTCCGCTGTTAGGACTTTATTGCGGCCTTTCTTTGAAGTGGGATCGGGGGCAAGATTTTGCTGTGAGCAAAGGTCGGGGTCTCCAGTCTCCAATGATCTCTGCTTGGCTTTATTGATGAGGTCCGAACAGGTAGATTTGGGTACTCCTGTTAGGGCAACAATCTCCTTCAATTTCATTTTCCTATCACCTGTAAGTGCCGCATATCCAAGGACTTGGCCCCGCTTACTAGCTGATGTTGTTGTCCCTTTTTTTTGGATGAACGGAATCATGTTGATGTTACTGGGACTCGGAGTATCGTGATCAGTATACTCGTAGAGTATATCATCACACCTCAACTGACAGCACACGCGACCTCACTGCCTCCCATTGGCTCATGCACCTCCCTGTGGGTTCATGCGCCTTCCTGTGGGCTCATGCAGACCCAGTCCGGTCCGGAAACGTCGTGAAATAAAGAGTATGTACTGGATTAACGATTTTTCGAAGGGGCTTGCAGTCTGATTGGTCGACAGCGACAGGGGTATTTAGTAAGCACGACACATCAAAGTACTGAGCACTCACGACCCAGTATAAAAATGCGAATACCTCAACAACCACAGATCGAATAGACATGAAGTTAAAAATATAGCATAATTAGAAAGATATGCAATATGACCCCCATTTGCCTCATAACACTGATACTTCCTAATCAGATAGTTATTGGCCTGGAAGGTAATTAATGTGCGACATTTGGTCAGCCTCTCACCAAAAACCCAACTTTTAGAAATTCAATAGCTCAACAACCACAACAGATAAAATTAATTGGGCTCTGTTACAGTGTTATTTACATCTTCCTCTATCACCCTACAGAGCTATTTTAATTTTAATGTGTTGTAGTGGTTGGCCATTAAGTTTCAAACTTCGGCAACTTTGACACTCTAGCTCAAGGTGTCCCCAACCATACACACATGATACATCTCACCGCGAACTCTTAGTCATGTTTGAGTCACCATCACGCTCTGGTCAAACGTTGGGAGCGATCGGATTCTTGTAATTAATCTTGATGAGCTTCCTACTACTGAACCGAATCCACAAGATGTCAAAGAATGGCTACTTACGCGTAAGTACATATACCAAGTATCAGAAACTGTAGTTTAGTTGTATATCCCAAATTAAAAGACAGCTTAAGCTAAGAGTTTGAAGTCTTTACCCGGTTATTGTATCCTCCCCTCAAAGACCTACCATAGGGTGAATGATGATTTCGAAAAGTAAATGTAGGTAGTCCAGCAGAGAAATAACTACGGCGACAGTAATAGAAGAAATCGCGCGATTGCTCCGTACTATATTGCTGCGAGGCATATGGGGGTATTTGAGCCTTCCAACTCAAAATCCTAATTATCTGATTGGCCGATTGGAGAATCTGCACCAATCAGGTTACCGGAAAATTGAGCTGGAGTCTGTTCGCAAATGCTCAATTATGTACTCTAGCTGTCTATGGCCGGGTGAGTTTGGAATATCAGTACATACATCTGCTCCTTGTCTATATTTCCATGCGCTTACATCGTTACATGCGCCTACATCAAGTATAAGCAATTCAATTGAATGCTACATACACACTTTTCAAGACTAGGGCACTGATAAGCAAAGCGTAACTCCAGTATACAATTGCAATTGGCTTACATGTACTCACCATACATGGACTGCTGTCAATTTATCCAATCATTAACAGCTTTGCATTCTCTAATTTACAGATTGATATCCCAGTAACCTTTCGTGTTCGAATTCGCAAATGACCGTTTTCGGATTCGCATTCTGCCCCTTTGCAGAGGTTAGGGGCCAATTGTCAAACTGGCACAGGCTTGGCTCCGGATAATTGAGCTTAACCGTAACAGACGATCTTTAGTTGCATTCGAGCCTCACCCCTTTTATCACTGAACCCTTTTAAATTTGTTCAACATCCACTTACTCTCTTATCTTCATTCCTCAACTTCACTCACTCACGACTGCATCCCTCGATTTCTTGCTTCGTTTTTTATCCGGTTCAATACTTCCTTTAATTACACAGCCTTTTCTACCAACATTCAAAATGACTTCTAGTAGACTAGAGAACGAGGACCACAGCCGTGATGCTGCCTTCAATAAGGCAATGCACGGAAAGTCTTCAGAGCTTAAGGGTGGTTTCTCTGCCATGCTTGGAAAGGATAAGGAAGCCCAGAACGCGGCGGTTGATGAGTACTTCAAGTTCTGGGATGGAAAGGGCGCTGGGAAAGAGACGGAGGAAGACATGAAGGAACGTGTTGAAAGCTATGCCACGTTGACAAGACAGTATGTTTTACCAACCCCGAAACAATTCGTAACGAATAAATTGTTGGGAGAAATTCTTACATATGATTTTAGCTACTACAATCTTGCCACAGATCTCTATGAGAACGGCTGGGGCCAAAGTTTCCATTTCTGCCGTTTTTATGAGGGTGAAAACTTCTACCAAGCCATTGCCCGTCATGAGCACTACCTTGCACACAGGATGGGTCTTCGCGAGGGAATGACCGTTCTTGATGTTGGTTGTGGTGTTGGTGGACCTGCTAGAGAAATAACAAGGTTCTCAGGAGTCAACATTGTTGGATTGAACAACAACGATTACCAGATCGACCGCGCGACTAACTACGCTAAAATCGGCGGTTTGGCCGATAAACACAAGTTTGTCAAGGGTGACTTCATGCAGATGTCGTTCGAGCCCAACACATTCGATGCTGTGTAAGCATTTCCGTTATCGTCCCATGCCTGGAATAATAAGCTAATAAGATCCGCAACCAATAGCTATGCAATTGAGGCAACTGTCCATGCTCCTTCCCTCGAAGGTGTCTATGGCCAGATCTACAAGGTTCTCAAGCCAGGTGGTGTTTTCGGTGTGTATGAATGGTTGATGACCGAAGACTACGACGTAACAAATCCCCGTCACCGTGAGATTTGCCATGGAATTGAAGTCGGTGATGGTATCTCCCAAATGGTTAAGATCTCTGAGGCCATCCGCGCCATTAAGGCTTGTGGATTTGAGTTGGAGTTCCACGAGGATCTTGCGCAGAGGCCCGACGTCATCCCATGGTATTACCCAATTGGTAAGAAATCCCGCTCCCCTTCCGCTGCAAATTGGCGTAATTAACAATTGTTATAGCTGGTGATCTGAAACACGTTCGCTCTGCGAGTGACTTCCTTACTGTTCTCCGCATGACTAAGATTGGTCGTGGCCTTATGCACAAGTTTATCGGTGGTCTCGAAACCGTTGGTATCGCTCCTGCCGGTACACAGAAGACCGCCGATGCCCTTGCATTGGCTGCGGACTCGTTGGTGGCTGGTGCCAAGGAGAATCTGTTCACTCCTATGTACTTGATGATTGCCAGGAAGCCCTTGAACTCTTAAGTGTGGTTTATGGGTTTGAAATTCTGGTGAAATTAGTTCTTTGGATGGCATAGGGACAGGGGTTTCGGGGAAAATTATGCGCTTAGCTATGTAATCTAGTAATAATTCGATTTGGCGGAGTTTCTCGTGTATCTATTATATATTGTATTTTACGGTGATGTTGGATTGAATGTTAAGTGAACTAAACGCTTGGTTTTGTCTCAAGATCATTAGCCGTTCTTTGGCGCGCTGTACGCCGTATGAAGTATCTTACTCTCGCAGCTCAAGCTCGTTACGCCAATATTGAAACCATTTTTGGATACCAGAGTGATGTAAAGAACACACTGATTTTTCTAAGACTCTGATGAGGTCAACTGAATACCGGAGAGAATGAAGTATCGTCAAAGCTTTCCAGTCTACGCCACATCATTTCTGATTATTGCTCTATACTTGCCAGAATTATGCGGATTCTTTTGCACAGAAAATAGACGCCTCCGTTATTTATCCCTTACATCATATACCAAACTGTATTATTTGCATGTCAAAAACAATTCTCGCTTTTTAGATCACCTTAGCCCTAACTAGCAGTACAAGCCGATCTATGTAGTATTGCCCAATCCGTCTAACCTAGCACAGCATCTTAAGCAGGCGTCAAAGCCTTCAACTCGTCAACCTTAAACAGCCCCTTCTTAATCATCGCCGCAGCTTGCTCAGTGTAAGCAGCCTTGACCGCATCCACCGACTTATCCTTCTGTAATCGTACAGCAAATTCGCCGAGATCCTCGGGATCGATCTTTGAAATGATCAAGTCAACATCAGAAAGAAGGTCATCAATGACCTTGGGAGAAGCATCGCCAGTCACAAAATAGTTTGTGTCCTTGACGGCACCCTTGAGTATACGCCTGTTTTTCTTGACGGCGGTCTTAGCGGCCTCCTTGGCTTTCTTAGAGTCGGCTTGCTTGAGCTTCGCTGCGGCCTCCTCCTCCTCCTTGCGCTTCTTCTCCTCCTCCTCTTTGATGCGCTTTTCCTCCGCTGCACGCTTTTCTTCGGCCTCACGAGCGTCGCGCTTGGCATTGCGCTGCTTCTTCTCCTCGTCTTTGAACTTCTTGATTCTAGTATCAAAGGCAAGAACGTCGTCAACGAGCTTACGAAGACGGGCAGTGTCCTCTGTCTTTCTTTTTGCACGAGAAGCCTTGTTCTTTCGCTCGACAAACCGCTTTTGATCACGGTTCTCGTTGTCATCTGGGACGTCCTCGTCGAGGTATTCGAATGTACGCCATGAGTCGAAGTTGTACCAGAAGTTATAAAATTCTTCAACATTCTCCTTGGTTGAGGATTCGTCGCCGAATTTAGGGACTGGCTGCTTCTTTGAAAAACGGGCCTCAGACTCAAAAACGGCAGACCAGAGCTTGTAAAAGTTTCCTTTCGCCTTCTTTGATGGTGGTTCGCGGTTGGCACCCTCATCAACGGAATCGAACTGACGACGTCTCACGGGGTCAGAAAGAACCTCCATGGCTATACTTATTGTCAGTATCAAAGCGGCTATGGGAATATTATATTATGGCGTACCTTTCTGGATACACTTGAAGAATGAGTCGTCTTCGGTAGCACCGCTGGCAGCCTTCTTGTCGGGGTGATGCTTGAGGACTTTTCTGCGGTGGGCCTTCTTGATCTGCTCATCCGTCGCCTTGTAACGGTATTTTGAGATACCGAGGACGGCATAGTGATCTTGGTTCTGTATCCGTAGATTGATTAGCGTTAAATTATCAGTTACTAAAGACTAAAATAACAATTTGTACATACCTTCCAGTCCTTTGGATCTCTCTGAAGAAGCATTGCATCTTCAGGCTCATCTGCCTCAGCGCCGTCGTCGTCTTCGATGTTCTTTACATTCTGC